TTTTTTTTTTTTTTTTTTTTGAGACAAGATCTCACTATGCAGTTCAGCCCTGGCCTGGAACTCACTATGTAGTTCAGGCTAGACTCAAACTCATGGCAATACTTCTGCTTCAGCTTCCTGAGAGCTGGGATTACAGATGTGCACCACCCTGCCCAGCCCTCTTTGGTCCCATTGAAGGGACAATAACCATGTGTGGATCTCTTGCCCTTTTAAAGCATTATTACGCACTTGCATAGTTCTTAGCCTCTTTTGGGATCGTTTGGCTTTTATCTGGGGTACAGCAAGTGGCCAAGATGAATCTCACTATGATGAGTCAAAAGTGAGGGTCAAAGTTCAAAACCCATCTGCAGACTTAGTAGGATCCTCTGATGATTGACCTAGCTACCCTTTGCATTGCTGATGGTGGCAACTGAAAAAGAGGCCTGAACCCTAGTAGTCTACTCTGCTCCTCGGACCTTTCCCGGGGCAGGATGAACTATGAGTTAGAGGAGTAAGAAGCACCACTCTGAGTTCATCCTGCAGAGTTGAAAGCTCTCTGTGTGCAAGCAGTGGGATTTAAGGTTGTCTGAGAAGCATGATGAGGCCATTGTCTTCCTCTGGGGAATTAGGTTCTAGCTGAGTTCTTGAGTCACTTGGAGGGGATGGGACTGATTTACTGGCCTGAGGATTACAAGGAGGTTGAGGAGAACTCCCAGAGATTGTCTTCATTAAACACACAGGAAAAACCTGTATCCTCCAAGAGACAGGTGGGGATATGAGGACAGGATCATCAAATATTTCTCCTTCTTCCTCAGGGCCACTCTAAATATCATAGTTTCTGGGCTCTTTCTGAGATAAAAGATCACAAAAGCCTGCACATAAGGGATTTCACTCTACTATGTTTTAAGCAGAAACATTTTAACTGAAAAATGGTCTCATAATTTAAACTGCCATCCTGTGCCTGCCTTTCACCATTTCCTAGTTCATACTGAACCCAAATTGTATCGCGGTAGTTGATGTAGTATTGTGAAGATGTCTTTAAAAAAAATTTTTTTTTTTCAAATTGTTAGGGACAAACCTTTCCCTCAGGATACAGCCTAGCAGGGAGGTCAATGGAATCCTTGGGTTGTGGTTCATGAAGTTTCCCATGGCTCTTCTTGGGCCTATATATAGAGAGAAAATCAAGTAGGTCTTGGGTCCTTAAAATGGTGTCCCATGCAGAAGGAGGAGACCTGAGGGATCCCTTGTGAGATGCAAGTATTCACTAGTAGATAGATGTTTCTGTCTGTAGCTAGGATGTTGCCACTGTCTTTTATAGAAGTATAGAAGAAAGCCCTGCTGAGGTTTTTTTGTTTTTGTTTTTTTTTTTGTCTCCATACAGGGATCTGGTAACTCCTTAGGGAGACCTGCATTGAGCTACTTGATGGCTCTTCCTAGCCCTTCAAAATTCCCAGAAGATCAGGGTGGAGTCTGTTCCCACAGGACATGAGTCGCTTGATGGTTCTACTAAAGCTGGGTGGAGCCACTAGAGAAACAGTATCCCTGGAGTCCCTTAAGCATTTTGAGCTCCTTGCTGGTTTTACTTGAGCAAGGTCCAGCCATTTGAGGCCCACTATCTCTTGCATTTGCTCCATAGTAAGAACTTTGGTACTTTGTTGAAGGCAGTAAAGACCCCCACCTTTTATTCAAGGAAAAAAAAAACTTTACAAATCCTAAGAACAACGATTGGTTCTACGTTTGACTCACAATCAGTTGATTTGAGCTTTACTGGGCGTTCTTTTGCTCTGCTCAGGCCCTCAAGCACGTGTTTCTAGCCTAATTCAAAAGAGGGAGGAAGCCCACACAGCTCTTATAATTGGAAGCCTAACTTCTGCCTACAGGGGTGAGACTTTCCAGTGACCATGAGGTCAGTAGACAGCAAATATGGCAGAACTATATGGCTGATTCATGTGACAAACCATAATGGTGATGAGGTGAACTAACTAGGATGAAGTGACACCCCGAGAAAGAAAAATACATTGAGGGGAAAAGTGCATACTTGGGCACAAAAAGAATCAACTTGGGTAGGAGGCTGCTCAGGCAGGAGAATAAGTTACCAACAGAGATTTTTCCCAAGAGAGTGAGAAAGCTGAGCAATGTATCAAGGTGAAACAGAGACATGAAGTCCAAAAGGCATACTAAACTCTAGGTTGTACGCATGATACCTGGACCATCTGTTCTGCAACTGGTTTAATAACAGGCTCTGTGGCTGTTCTTTCTTGACTTATATCTGCAACAAGTGACCAGAAATGAGAAAGAGAAGAAAGGAAAGGGGAGATAGACTTGAGGTAGACCTGTGGGCCTCTTACTGGCCGAGAGAAACAGAGAGCATGCACTTCCCTGCCACATGGAGGGAAAAGCAGGGAACGGTTGTTGGCACCATGTAAAAAGTCTCCTGAGTTCTCCAGCCTGGGGGAGAGGGGGAGAAAAAGATGGTGACCTTGTGGCATTTTAGAAACACAAAAACATGTGCCTGCCCTGCTGCCTCTGGCTTTTTGGGATGCTGGAGTCTCCTTCTGGAAGTGATACCTAGGTTCTTTCTGCCCTGAGCAAAGAACTGGTCAAGACAAGCGCAAGTGGGAGTAAAGCTTTATTAGAGGTAGGAAAAGAAATAGGCTTTGCAGAGCAAGTTTGGGCCAAATAAAAGTAGGAAAGGCAGTGCACTCCAGAGTGAGGGGCCACCATGCAAGAGGACACAATGGCTGGTGGCTTCTATAGTACGGTACTGTAATCGCTGATTGTACCATACAACACAGTACTGTAGTTTTACTCTGCTGTACTTTTTCTCTGCTGCATGTGAGAGTTATGCAAATAAAAGCAAAGTTATTGAGTTGGAGCTTCCTTTGACCATTTCAGGAATGGAACTTGGTCGTTAAATGTTAGATGTGTCTGTAAGGCTGCCTTTAAAATCAGCAGAATTCTGAGAATGGAGGTGTGGCAAAGATGTGCCTTAATTGTCTCAGAACTGATTTTTACCAGGACATCCTGGGTTCCAAGGCATTAAAGTGACCTACCTACCTCACTACTTTTCACTTTGTTTCTTTTAGGCTTGTAAAGATCTTAGTTTCCAATGGCACAGATGTGAATCTGAAGAATGGAAGTGGCAAAGACAGGTAGGAGATTGGAGACGCCTAAAATGTGCCCATGTTCTTGTGCACCCTTGTGGTGTAGGTACAAGACATGTAACCAAAGGGTTTTTGACTTAGGCAAGTATTTTGTTTATTTTGACAGCACTGAGAGGTGAGTAGTTCCCAAAGAAAAGATGGTGAGGACGAAAGCTGGCTGTTCATTTGTGCTTTCATTGCCTGGGATTCCTGGGCATCAGTTATAATGTGTCTCCCTTCTCCAGTTCAGTCAGTGCTGACTATTAAACAGGCATCACCAGCTCAGCACCGGGCACTGGCTCGTGAGTGCTTGCTCTGGGCACTTTGTTTCTCTCTCAGGGTTTTCACTGCATTTCAGCCTTCCTCTGTTTACCAAGAATCCCAATAGTTCTAGAGAAATCAGCATCAACAATGCAACCATAGAACTTGTCTGAGATTTCACCTGAATGGGCTGAGGGCACAGAGGAAAAGTTCATGGAAAGAATGTTGTACTTACAAAGGATAGATGAAAGTTTTTTTTTTGTTGTTGTTGTTGACTTTTTGAGACAAGTTCTTGCTATGTAGCCCAGGTTGGGCTCAAACTTAGCCTCCTTCCTCAGTCTCCCAAATGCTAGGATTTACAGATATGTGTTACTGTGCATGGCTATAAATAATGCTTTCTAGAGAAATAAATACTAATCTAGCAATTAAATTTAATTAAGTAATTCAACTAGCCAATTATTAAATGATGAACACACACCAGGCACTGTACTTGATGTTTGGGTAGAACAGGGTGCAAAACACAGACCTTCTTCTCTTAAGTAACTTGTTGTCATGTAACACACACACATAAGTATCTGGGTCAGCCACAGACCATTTTATATAGGGGCCATTAAAGAAATATCAATTAATTTATGAAATCAGAAAGAACACCCACTCCACTCCTTGGACATAGTGAAAGAACAAATTTAAATAACAGCATTTAAAAATTTGCAAATGTAAAAAGCATTTTCCAAATAATTCTTAGGTTAATTTGGAACAAGCCATTGACTTAAGAAGTTCAAAAAGAATAGTACCACTTTAAAAGCAAAAAGAATGTAGGAGACGTAGAAAAAAAGGAAATAATTAACATGGAGAAGTTGATTAATCAAAAAATAAAGATTATACTCTGACATATGGACACATTGTGTGACCTTGGGCAGATCATATACCTCTCTGTACTTGGTTTCCCCATCTGTATAATGGAGCTGATAGAAATACTCATGCCACAGGGCTGTTAGCATTAAATGAGGTAATACCTGAAAAATGTGTACAATAGTGCATGATGTATGATAAATATAGGTCATACTGTTATTTCATGATGAGACAGTATTTTGGAAGGTGACCAACTTGGTAAGATATGAAATAGGTAGGATTCCTGTCTCTCAGAACTCATGAGAGTTACCTTTCAGATATTTGGATTGGCTAAGGAAGTTCAATACAGTGGCCAGCTGTAAGACAAGGAAAAAAAATGTTTAAAGTACCCACAATTACTGGTTAATGAATATAATGGAGAAAATTAAGAATAAAAAATACTTAAAGAAATTTGAATGTAAAAAATTTAAAAACTGTACAGAGATATAAAGATTTTAAAAAGAGAGACATATACCATATGCCAGACTATTATAAAATGTACAGTTTCTCCCACATTAACATATAGATTGAATGTAGCCTCAAATAGAATTATTCTTGGGAACCTGTCAAAATGATTGTAATTTAGCTGAAAAAAACAGATGATAATAATTACTAGACTTTTGTCAGTCTATGAAGCTTTTGTTTTGACAGTTATTAAAATACCTTAAAAGTTTTAGTAATTAAAAAAAAGTTTTAGTAATTAAAGTGTGTGATACTGATACAAATAATTGGAAAAAAATGGAATAGAAATTTTAAAGCCGATCTCCATATAAATAAGAACCTAGTATAGGTTAATGGGGGAAATACAAACCAGTTGAAGGTATTGAAAAAATAAGCTATTTGAAGAAAAAAAATTAGGCAGATGTGGGCCTTAAAGTATGTACCAAAATAAATTCCAGATGAAAGAAGAATTAAATGTAAAAACTCATGAACTTCTAGAAAGCAGGGCATTGTACTTATGTGATCTTGTAATGTGAAAGACATGAAAGTTAAAGAAATCACTAAGGAAAAGATTAAGTATATATTATATACGAAAAACTGAAAGAGGCTCAGGCAGGATAATCTCAAGTTTGAGGTCAGGCTGGACCACTTAGCTGGACCCTGTCTCAAAAAGTAAAAGAATGGGGAGGTAGCTTTCTGCAAAGGTGCTGGGTTCAATCTCCAGTATCAAAAAAACCAAAATAACTCCTCCCCTCAGAACCCTTAATTACAGAATTAAGGACAGTCTGAGGAAATATTCATGTATGTGTTATAGACAAATAACTGGCATCTTCGAAGTGCAGAAAGACACTCCAGAAACTACACAGTAGGAAAAGAGCAATTTGACACGAAAAGACAGTGATAGCAGAATCAGTAAAAACAGTAAAAAATGTTTAGCTTTGCTGGTGATGAAAAGAATACTACCTATCAAATCAATACTTTAGAAAAATAGTGCTTTATATAGTAAAAGGGACACTTTTGGATAGAGACTATAGAGGTGTAAGTGGATGGAACCTTTTGGGAAGGTGACTGGACACCCACACCCGGGGTGAGCCAGGGGCTGGGGTGGAGCTCAGTGGCAGAGGGTTGGCAGGCATGTGAAAGGCGGGGTGGGTCCTCCCCACGCTTGTGCACACTCACCCCATACACACATGCACATGTGCACTAAAGGAAGCTATGACCACCGACACAGGGACTATTTTTAGAAATTGTACCCCTAGGAAATAATCAGGGATGCAAATAAGACTTTATATATATAATAAGGGTGTTTGCTGTAGCCTTATTTAAAATTGTGAGACGTTTGAAACGACTTCAATTTCCAACACTAATGGACTGACTTCAGTTCTGATACATGAATATTTAGTACGTAGAAACTGTTGGTGGAGTTGAACCATAAGTGTGCAAATTCACAAGAAAATGAACAATATGTCAAAAAGGGAGGAGAAGACTGGGACAGACATCAGACGTACACGAGAAGAGCCAGAGGGTCTTGTTCGAAGATTCAGGAAGCTGATACTGATAAGGGCCCAGGAGCTGCAAGCAGGTGTTTCTGTCCCAGAAATGGGCTCACTGGGTGCTGGTCCAGCCTGCACACTGGGAGGGCTGGACAAGCGTGGCCTGTAAAGTGGGAGATCACTGGGGTGCCTCGCCCTTCATGTGTAGGTGACACTGGTTGTTGAGAAGACTGAAGGCAGACTCCAGTGGCCCCGCACCCGGGGACTTGGCTGGCTTTCTGAAAGAAGGAAGGAAGCGAGGTTCAGAGGCTCCCTGTCCCTGGGGAGGAACCCAGGTCTCAGCTCGTGGCTGGGAAGCCCAGGCTTTGGGGGCTGTTGTGCAGCCATCCCGTCTCCCAGGAGCAAGTCCAGCACAGTCTCAGGGGCTCGTCCTCAACAAGGGGAGGGTATGAGACTCTGACGTGGGAACCTTTCCACCTAGCACGCCTTACTTTTTAATCAGGAAAGCATTACTTGAAAAATGCCATCCAGGTAATTACAGTTAAGAGTATTTTATTTAAGTATCAAAATGACATTTTCTTCCCAAGCTTGGTAAAGGCCATTGGAAAGACCTTGGATTGCTTGGATGCTGAGCCCCATGCCCAGCATGTGAAGTTTTCACTGTCTCCTGGGGCTTGTGCTGTGTGGGGATGTGGTTGCCAGGCTGTACCAGCTCTGCCAGGCTTTGTCTGGGTGCTGCAGGTTCCATTGCTTACTCAGAAAGGCACTTGTACATTTTCCCTACTGGGAAGATCTTCTGTTTTATTTTCTAACTTTATTTTTAGAAATTTTAAACATACATTTATTCATTTATTTTTGAGGCAAGGTCTCACTGTGTAGCCTAGGCAGACCGCTCTCCCTCTCTCTCCCCCTCTCTCTCTGTTTTTCCCCTCCCCTTCTCTCTCCTCCTCTCTCCCTCACTCTCTCCCCCTCTTTCTCTCTCTCTCTCTCTCTCTTTGTCTTTGTCTCTCTCTTTCTCTTCCTCTTCCTCCTCTCTCCTCTCTACTTCTTCCCCTTTCCCCTTTTATTCTCCCTCCCTCTATAAAGCAGTGACCAGCAGACTAGAACAGATCACGATCTTGATCTTCCATACTCCTGCTTTGACCAATGGTCTCCCACTTGTGGGAGAGGTACTTGTTTTTGTTTGTTTGGTTTTTTTTTTGGTACCGGGAATCGAACTCAGGGCCTTGCACTTATGAGGCAGGCACGGAGCCACTGAGCTAAATCCCCAGCCCAGCCCTTGTTTATCTTACCCTTTATTGTTAAGATGAAGTTAGGTTTAGAGGTTTGATAGGAATTAGAAAATACTCTACAGGGTAATAAATAATTCAGTCCTGTGTGAATCTCTCATCCCCTTCTGACCTTTTACCCAATAATTTTAACATCCACTAATGATATTTGCTTGACTCAACTCTTAAATTAGGAGTTGCAAAAAGGGATTTCTCTAGTTGTATGATTCCTTTCATATTTATAAGCTGGCAGTCACCTGTTAAAAAGGAGGGGGCTTCCCCTCAGGTGAGATGGAGCACATTTCAGTCTAAAAAAAGGCAAAGTACAGTAAATGTTTACTGATTTCCCTTTAATACCAAGTTTTAAGGTAAGGAACTGGCTCAGTGTTATCTTTAATAGTATAAATGAGTTTTTTGTTGCCTTTATTTTTAAAATATCATCATGGACTCTGGATGTTTTTAAATCCAACATTTTATACTAGTTTGTAGTCCCTTCATTATTGAGGTATAATCCATACACTATAAAATATGGATCTTTAAAATATACAGTTCAGCATGGTAAAATACATTCCCAGCTTTGCAGCCACCACTCTCTAATTACAGAACATTTACATGACCCCAGAAAGATGCTCTGTATTCATTACAAGTCACTCCTCCTTCCCCCTAGCCCCAGGCAATCACAAGCCTTTTGGCTTTGTCTTATGAATTTGCCTACTCTGGATATTTTGAATAATTAGGACCTTGCGATATGTGGCCTTTTATGTCAGGCATCTTCTATTAGAATTTTTAAAGATTTACCTCTGGTGTGGCATTTCATTTCCTTTTCATCGCCAAGTAATGCTCCATTGCGTGGGTATAACATTTTGCTCAGCAGTTGATGGACACCTGTATGGTCTACAAGAGTAAAGCACATGACTGTTCACTCACATTAGAGCTTCTTGGTTTTAGCTAGGTAGGGCAGAGTGTGGATCCAAGCATAGGGCTGCACTCACAGCTGTTTGCTGCTGTTTCCTTGTGTTGCAGTCTAATGCTTGCATGCTATGCGGGACACCTAGATGTTGTAAAATACCTCCGAAGACATGGAGCTTCTTGGGATGCTAGAGACCTGGGAGGCTGCACAGCTCTGCACTGGGCTGCAGATGGCGGCCACTGCCCGGTGATTGACTGGATGATAAAGGACGGCTGTGAGGTAGGAGCCTATTTTGTTAACCACACAGGTACTGTTAAGGCTCTGAAATGCGGCTCTGCAGGGTCAAGAAATGAGGCTGTGAATGGATGAAACTGAGAAATTCTGGAGAAAGATCTCTGGCTTATCAACAAGAAAGCTGGACAGGTCTCAGAGCAAAAGTTTCTTGTGTAATCGATATGTCAGTGAGGCTCAGCTCGTCGGGGATGTTGGTGCTGAGTAGGAAAAAGAAATTCAGCTGAATCCAGAGCTGGGTCTGAAGCTTTTACATTGTTTATCATTTGTTTATTCAACCTACGAAAGCTTTGTGGAGCATCTACTGTGAACCAGATATTGCCTTGTGTGCTAGAGACACAAAGATACTAAGAGATCGTGCAGCCACAGTGTTTCTTTTCGCTTTTAAAATTATATTGTTTTCATTGTTAGTTTGCTTAAAGATTAGTCATTACAAAAGTTTTCCAAAGGAGGAACTGACGGGGTGAAGCATGCAATATTTCTGTTCTTGCTGTCTACCCAGAAGCAGGAGAAGGTATGTTGGTTTGCCTTGATTTTCCATGTCATTGGAAGTACAGATCTGACTTAGCAAATAGAAGTAGAGTTGTTTGGATTTCTAGAGATGTTTGAAGAGGGACCATTACAATCAGGTAAATCATGGTAAATTCTGATAACTTTGAATGTTAATGTCTTTCAAGCCTTGGACTAAAAGTTTCAAGGCATGCAAATAACAATGGGTAAAATACTGTACAGGGATTGCCATTTGGTGAAGAGTATCAAGGAATTAAATTGGTGACCTGGAAAATTAACTCAAATTGAACAAAGTCCACGTCTCCCAGAAGATGTTAGTAGATTTGTTCTAGTTTGTCACTGAAGTGGGATCGAGGGAAAGCAAGGCTTAAATTGTGCAAACACAATGGTTTCTGCTACTGCATTTGGACAGCTGAAAAAGGGCTTCCTGGAAGGAAAAATCTTAGTCATTATGATAATTCCTTCCTGTAGCATGGCTCATTTCTTTGTGTTTTGGAGTCATGCCCAAGAGGTCAGAAGGCTTAGCCATGGGCCTCAGTGGGACAGACAGACCACATTTGCTGTGCAAGGTAGTGACAGCCTTATCCTCTCCTTTGGTTTGTGGTGAGCTGTGCTCATGCTTTGGATCCAGTAAAGTCCATGGTTGAAAATGGGTTAATCTTTGGTGAAAGAGGAACAGGATCCAGAGTAAGGTAGGTCTCTGCGGTGAACACCAAAACACTGGAACATAGCAAATGCAGGCTCTCTGGCTTCAGACACAAAGCCAGTTATTTAGGATAAATAAACTTCATCTTTCTCTGTAGCACAGGAGCCACTTTGCAGAGGACAGAACCATAGCGCAGACATGTCTGCTAGTAGTGAACCGAGTCTCCGTGTTCTTGGCTGATGCTCACTTGATGCTTCCGAAGACTGTAGGAAGGATTTAGGAGCCAAGAGGGGCATTGCCCTCATATTCCCAAATGCACTGACTTTCTACGGAGGGTGACCTATTTACCGGATCAGAGGAACTGTTTCTACAATAATGAGCCATGCGGCCTTAGGAAACACACCTGATTTCTCTGAGATGGGGTTTGATTATTTCTAAATCAGGAATAAAAACACCTGCCCCGGCTTAACCTTCTGGTGCAAAAGAGAAAATGTGTATGGAAGTGTGTTTGAAAGTGTGTAAAGCATCTTGTAATACCAGTTGATGATTATTACTAAAAAATAATGGAGGTTGTTGCCCATAGGCTGTCTATTTGCATGAGGAAGAGTGATGTAGCACTGGGTGCTCTTATACTTACAACCTGCCAGTCTCTTGTTTGTTATTCTGTTCTGATGTTGTACTAAGTTGCAGATCATCTTTAAGTAATTCTTCTGTAACAGTGTGTTTACATATGCGCGTCCCTGCTTTCGCTTATTCATTCTCTCTCTCTCTCTCTCTCTCTCTCTCTCTCTCTCTCCTATTTCAGTGCCACTGTTCATAGATTGGCTAGGTTTTCACTGGAAGATGCAACATTTGCATTTTCTTTACAATTATTTCTTTTAAAACAATAACTTGAGAGTTCAGTGTAGAGCAGGTCATTGGGAAATGACCATCTTATTACTAGGTGCATTCTGCTTTAGAGAAGGTTAGGGTTAGAGAACTTTTCAGATTAGGTTTGTGTAATGAATGGCTCTAGTCGCTTTGTATTTACTGTCAGTCTCCTCCCTAAAATTGACCAATAGTAAGCTCAGCGGTGTGTGTTTATGTGTTATGACTGATTCTAGAAAGGATTTAAAGTGTGTATAAATATACATAAAGATAAACAAAATTGGCAATACTTTTAAAAAACAAGTGAGGACAGTTAGGCAAGACAACATAAAATAGAGTTCACTGGGGCCAAGAGAAGGGGACCTTCACTCAAGTTTTCTAGTATCTCTTTTTTTTTTCCATTTTAAAACAATGAAGATGAAAATGCCACTGGGGGTAGAACCTCCGGGAGCCTCTCAGTGAAGGGAGCCCCTAAGGTGAGGGTCACGGATCTTCTCACTGCACATAGATGTGAGTTACTCTAACAGCCCAATTGACGTGTACACCGTGTCTAGAAGGACTGCTAGCTAGCTCAGGAGAGTTCAGGCAAATAAATATTCCTCGAATTAGTCCACAACGCGTCATATTCAGGAGAAGTAGTTTGACTGAGACAGCTCTTTGTCTGGACTACAGGTAGATGTTGTGGACACGGGCTCGGGGTGGACTCCACTCATGCGAGTCTCTGCGGTGTCAGGAAGCCAGAAGGTGGCCTCGCTGCTCATTGAGGCTGGGGCCAACGTGAATGTGAAGGACAAAGATGGAAAGACACCTCTCATGGTATGCCCTTCTCCCAAAGAGCAGAGCTTTTTTACCTTTAGGCATTCTCTTAAATGCCACATATGTAGGGGCCCTGAGTTTTGGTTCCATCTGTGTTCCCTATATGCCTGTTAATAAAGGCATGAGCATGTCAATATAGTTTTATCTTTTTTGAGACAGTTTTTTCTTTCTTTTTCTTTTTGGTACCAGGGATCGAACTTGGGACCTTGCTCTTGCGAGGCAGGTGGTGGCACCCACTGAACTAAATCCCCGGCCTCAGACAGGGTTTTATATCTTGTTCAGGCTGATTTTGAACTCAAGTGATTTCAGTGTCTCAGCCTCCCGAGTAGTTGGGACTACGGGCATGCACCACTAGATGAGAGCATTATTAAAACATTTTTATTCTCTTTTACAATTCCTTTTTTAGTGATTAGCACCCTCAGTCCCTAAGGCCATTGTAGGATCACAACAGAGTTGTTAAAACCACGTGTAGTGGTCTGGCCTGGCCTCTCCCATGTTGCTTCAACCCTGAGAGGGAGATGATATTTATCTTCTGGTTGCCACCACCATAGAACGAACAGGACACAGGCCTCTCATGCAGAGTCCCAGTGGCCTGACTAGGTCTGCTTTGTGGGGTCCTGCTGGCGAACTCCCTGTGCCCAGTAAGTGCCAGGTGTACCCTCTGCTGCCTATACCCCTGTGGAGTAGGGGAAGGGGTGGCAACAGCTCACACTGCACTGTTGTGTTTTTCAGGTGGCTGTGCTAAATAATCACGAACAGTTAGTTGAATTACTACTTGACAAAGGGGCAGATGCAAGTATAAAAAATGAGGTAAAACTAATCTTTATAAAATATTTTTTTTGGAGAAGAATAAATATGATGTTTAATTATAATTTTTATTGTTTCCTCTTTCAGTTTGGCAAAGGTGTCCTAGAAATGGCCAGAGTTTTTGACAGACAGGTGGGGATGTCCTTTCTGCCTATCAAGATTAATTTGTAGCATCTTCAGCATCCCAAAGCACCCCATCAAAACCCCGGAGGACACTCACCTGCTTGTTTTGTTTTTCTAGAATGTGCTCTCCCTATTAGAGGACAGGAAGAAAAAGCAGCTGCCAAAGAAGTCTTCTGTTCACTGATCAGAGCACCACCTGTCTACAAAATCCAAGCAAAGCAAAGCAAAATGTGACCGTTGACCAGAGTCACAAGAAATTCCAAGTCTTTGAGGGCTACACATTTATTTATTTAGTAGAAGATTCACAGTGACTTTTTGTAACAGATGACTGTTCCCACATTGAAATACATATTTTTACCCAAGTACACTTGCATATGTTCTTATATCACTGGGCATCCATAGAACAGGGATGTTTCCTTGCACTTGTGCTTTCAGTTAGACATGAAACAAAATATTTATCTTCCAGAGCTACACAAACACATGTGGGTCTCCCACTCCCGGGCTCCTGCCCAGCTGTCCCAGGGCACTTCAGGCTGTTGGCATTCTTTCCTGCATGTGCTTCCTATTGTCCTTCCTCCCCCACCTGAAGGCCTTCCAGGCCCTGTTGTCAGGCTGCTGTTGCCTCTGCAGTGGCGCTCACCCTTAAAGCCCAGGGGATTTCTCTCCAGTTCTTGGCCTCACATCAAAGCTCAAATACAGATCTCGAATCTGTGGTCCTGGCTTGTTGGCAGTGTCTGGGTGGGGGGATCAGTCTTCCTAGACCAGCCCTGTCTGCACGTGTGTTTGCACATACTTGTGCCCTGACAGTGAACGACCAGCTTGCTGGTGGCTTGATGACCTCACCAAAGAGCAGAGTATATTCACTTCTGTCCTCAGATAGATGCTGAAAAGTTTTGGAAGCTGATCATGGAATTTGTGGACAAGTACGGGTTAACACACAACCAAGTCTGCTGGTTGGGAGCTTAAAAAGACACATGTGCTGGAACTTTAACTTGGGAAACAGAAATCAAGGAAGAAGTTAGCAGACTACATGCATTTTGTGTCTCGAGAGAAAAACAAGTTCACCTGGTCTGTGAGTAAAACAGCTACAAAGATCCGCAGGAGAGTGGAATTTTCTTGGTACAGAAAAGCCAAGTAAAAGGCAATTAAAGCTCTAAAACTTTAGGGGAGGGCCCAGAGAAAACAATCAATTTTATCGATGTTAGTAATCTTTAGCTTTATTTCACATAGAATACTTACCTTAGGAACTGGGTCTGAGAGCCATATATATTGTTCATAGAGATTTCATTAGTGTGTTACCTTTTGTACAAATGCACCCTCTATAATCTGCTAGATTTTTTAAAATCTAAAAATGATAGCATAATAACTCTGCAGAAGCCTCTCATCCTTTTTGTGATTGGCATTGTCATTCAGCTTAATTTCATTTCTGTCTCTGGAGTGCCCATAAGCCTCCCTATGCGGGGAATCCCATTCTATTATTATTGTTGTTATAAGCTTTTGTTTTAAAAAATATTTTCTTTCATAGAATATATTTTCTTATTAGCAGTTCCCACAGTAGGAAAAATAATGTATTATATACAGTTTTATATTTGTGCACAGATTATTTTAGGACAAGTAAAACACATTTGAGAATTCTGTTTGGAATCTGTAATATTTTAATAGAGCTGCAAGGAAGACCCTTTCCCTAAATGGATCTCTAAATTCAGAAGTTCTTCAGGCTTTTATTCCTAGGATTTAGAAATCTGAAATGCCAGCTATCAGCATCTCCTAATTTTAAAGTTTCTCTAGGACATAAAATAATCATCATTAGCTGGTACCAAATAGGGAAGTTTCTGAAAAGTAAACACTGTCTGATTTTCCTGCCTTTACTCATGAATAACAATCTTTCCCTTTGTCTGTTGTTCCCAGGAAAAATACAAAATTATAATCATGTATTGATAGTAATGAAACTGAATTCTCTTTAAGAGATTGATAAAAAAGCAATAAGTAATGTTTAGTCACACTGCATTTTCTGAGCCAGGAGAAGATCCTATTAACTCACTAAAATTACAGAACTTGGTCTTACTATTGCTGAATGGGATACAATTTCTCTCAAATCTTTTCCTCAAAATTAAATTCTGAAAATAACCTTGTGATAAGGAGGTTTATCCACCAATGGACTTATCTGTTATTTCTTCCTTATTGTGAGCTGAATATCATGACAGAGCAGAGGCAAAGAGACATACTTTCAATTCTTAAGGTATTAAGTAAAAAAGATCAGAACTTCCACAGCACGGCAAAAGCTTTGCATATGCCAACACCATGATAGCTGAAATAACAAAGCCCAGCAAAGGTTAAAGCTGAGAGCATCCCCATGAACATAGTAACAACTCTCCCAAGGCCACGGTGACTGTAAGGAGTCAGGGCTGCAGCCAGGGAGCCGTCCAATTCAGAGCAAAGATTCCAATATGTAACTTGAAGCAGCCCCAGGAGCAAAACACAACCAATTCTTCTGCTAGTCCAGTGGAGAGAATCAGCCTTCGAATCAGGATGATGGCTTGGCGATAGATGAATATTCTGTGCCCCAAACAACCTCTGGCAGGTCAGTCTTGTAGAAATGCTGAGACATGAACTGGTCTGAACACTGGAGTTTGAAGGAACAGAGCTCAGCCTGCTAGGACTCTGCAGAAGACACTCAGGCTCAGGGCAAGCACCATCTTGCTTTTCAAGGCCATCTGCCAACCTGGAAGCAGTTATCCTCATTCTTCATTGTTCATATCAGGTTTGCTACTGTTGTCAACTCTCTGGACTCAATATTGAACTATCCTTATATTCCCATGATAATCTCCTTGGGTTATGGTGAATTGCTGCATTCTCTATGTTTATAATATGCTGGGTCTCTATTTGCTCTTTCTCTTTAAGATTAGGAAGTGGCTTATATTCTGTCTTCAGTTTCCTCTTAAGAGCAACAACTCAGGGTTTTATTTGTTCTGTTTTCTCATTAACAAACATACTTTTTATCTTTACAAATCCTCTTTTTATATAGGTTTATTTTGTTTCTTTTGTAACTTTCTTGTTGACATTATTTACTCATTTCTGTTTTGTTTATAATAGATGTGCTTAGGGCTGTGAATTTCCCCTTCAGCACTTTAGTTGTATTACCATGAGTTTTTTTTTTAAACCTTTCAGATCTGAAGATGCAACTGGGGGTACTTGTTAAACACAGATTTCTTGGGCCCATCCTAGACCCTCTGGGAACTTCCAGGGAAAGGGCATGCCCATGGATTTTAACAGGTATCCAAGGTAAGTTCTTGTAATTCAATGAATTTTGAGAAATACAGCCATAGTCTGTGCTATGTGTAGTGGTTTAATTTGCTGTTTTCTGGATAATCTACATCTAAAGAATCATTACATTTCTAGGCCATAGAAATGTTTTTTTTTTAAAGTTTCTCTTTCTCCCCCAGACCCTTCTCCCTTCTCCCTTTAAGGCACTTTGAAAGAAGTTCTGCATGTTTGGAGTAGCTCATTTGATATATATCAACTTTAACCACCTTAATTTCTCTATTTTAAATCACCTATATACTTACTTTTTGCCTACTTTGTCACAAATGGAAAATGGTAAGATAAAGACCTCTATTCTTGTTACCGTTTTTGAATATGTACAGGACTGTACATGTATATACAGCTATGTTGTACATTGGTATTTCTTGCAGTTTCTTTATGAAGTGGGGTGGTATCTTTAACAATTCAAAACTAGAAAAAAAATAGAAAATAGATTATCCATTCCCTTTAGATTTTCATTTCCTGTTCATCTGATGTCTCTGACACTGCTTGCTCTTTGAATTTATCTCCTACATGAGGTGAGTTTTAGAAACTTTGATAGATTATGAATTTATGTTGCTTAAAAATGTATCAAGAGTCCCTGACACTCATCAATGGTATGTGTGAACAGGCATTTTCTTCCCTCCGTGTCCCCTCCCCTGACTAGTCTCTGAGAACCAACAGCATCTACCTTGCTTGCTACCCCTCCCAATTCTTAATTTTTTGTGTTCCAAAATTGTCTTATATATTTATAAGTGAATGGGAATCTGCATTTTTTTTTACATGAGGGCTTCCTCTCCATTTTTTTTAACATTCTCAGTAACAAATGAGACACTCTATATTTACCGTTTACCATTTATTGGGTATAATATTCTTAACAATGACTTTTTCTACTGAAATAGCAGGTTGTATTTACCTGTAGATCCCCAATATGAGAAATGTGTACAGAAGTAACAGAATGTAACATAAAAAGTTATGTGAAAAAATGAGCAAACCAAAGCATTATAAATGGATGAAGCACTACAAAACGACTGTGCTGGTTTATGTAGCGGTAACTTCAATCTGCATGGTGCTAAACAGCCTGTAGACAAGTTAAAGATTTGCATTGACGGTTTCCACACACATTCCAACATCAGGCTGTCCAAGCACCTACCGATTTGACCTGACAGGAGGCGGTAAGGGAACTCTTAGTTCTGCTTTTCCTTGTTCAGAAAGCTTTGGCCATCTATTACTTAGAGGGTTTTTATCTTTCTCATAACTGCCTTGTGAAGTCACCTACTTACTATAGGCCACAAGTGTAAAATAGTGTTCAATTCTTTTGTAAAACCGAAATGATCACATGACATCTATTCTTTTGTCTGGATTTGATTGTGCTAAAGTTAAGGATTAAAATGCCATATTCTAGAATTATGGGGAACGTAGAGCATGCTTTTTGAAGACAATGTGGGAAATCAGACTGGATTAGAAGGCATTCAATCCAGAGGAGCCAAATCACTTTAAATAAAAAATGCTATTGAGTGTTCAATTTCCTATCTCTATCCACTATTAACTATTTTAACAATTTCATATGTAATATTTCTCTTCCTGTTTTTTTTTTTCCATATGAAATAAGACTATAATGGCTGTGTATTTTCTCTGCAAAGGTCAGGGAAATGGTACTTTCCTATAGCTCTAGGAAGTATCCTTTTTCACAGAAATGGTTATGCACCTAAGTCTCGCAAATCTTAGAAGGTTGTTTCACTATTAGTTTTCAAACAGGTTTAAAAGCAGTAAATGTCACTAGGAACTTGAGAGTGAGCCAGGAGAATTTGCAATCATAGCTAAATTGATTTTTCTATGGCCAACTTCCCTAATTAGAGCAAGGCATTAGATTGGAGGTCACTGTGGTCAATATGCCCATGGGAAGGATTTGGGGAATTCAGTGCTAGTGGGTGCTGGAAAGGCTGCTCTGTGCTGTGACCCTGGAGAAAGTGGGCTTTGGGTGTCCAGTAGGTGAAACCTACAGGATAGCCACATGCTGTAGTAGTCACCACATTGGCCGACCAGAAGTACTGACAAAAGTAGATAAGAGATTTGATGGTTAGAGACTGGCGAGGCATCAGCATTGGGTTTCGCCTCAGTAAGGCACTTGTGTCTCGTGATAGGGAAGGGTAAAGGTAAAGAGCCATATTTGCCTCTGGCTTCCTGTGTCTGGGCATGTGGATAGGGCTGCTAATACATCATGGGGAGTATCTGGGGGACCATTGTACTAACTTGTAGTATGGGCGGGGATGAGAAAGGTGGTACCTGCAATGACTCCCTTGGGCCAGTTTCTGTGTACAAAACTCCCAGCCTGAATATCAAGTATCTGGGTTACTGCTGGTGTGGGGAGATTTCTGGGAGGGTTGTTTTAACTTTAATCTGGGTCACTGGTATATGGCTGGGGCCATTTTGAGAGCAATGAGAAATGATCTGTAGACCAAATCTGCCCTGGGCTTTCTCCAGAACACTAAGGGCAGTTATAACCTAGCAAAGCTTAAAAACAAAATAAACCTCATGATGAAAGACTGCAAGAGTTCAGGGTGTATTAGGAAGATCTGGCCCAGATGCCCAGGCTTCATGCCCTCTCAGTTGTCAGGGTCTTATTGGCTCAGATTGCTTAGTAAACATCAGTTGAGAGGTGGCAGGAGAATGCTCAGGCATTCTAGTTGGTCCAGCATCAGGCTCTTTTTAGCACCATGGGGACCACAGGTCCTAAGAGTATTCTGACACAGATCAGAGCTTTAGCGATTTTAGGGGATGCATTGATGTGTTGTATTGATTTGTCAGATAACAATGGCCTCAAATTCAGTCTGAGAATTCTGAATAAGGTTAAGGAGGCATAAAAATGTCCCCTTGGAGACTAGTTCAGGAGTATTTATTCTCATATAGTTTATTTTGTTGCTGTTGTGGTTTTTGTGATGTCATTCCACATGTGTAAGCTGGAAAATTCATACTGGGCAGTGTAACCTCTGCATGCATATTTCAACAATGGAAAATGTTATGCCTTGTTTCTCTTGGTTGCTACACATGTCTGATTCCATGTGTCAGGAAAACAAACTGTTAAAAACATTTCAGGAGATATGCTTTTAATGGAATGCCTGGAAGATTAGCCATATACTTCCCCATAAAGTTAGGGTCATATAACCTACAGCTATTAGATGTATGAAAAAACGTGAGTGGCCTTTAGGCCTCCTTTGTGTCTAGAGTCTGAGCTTTCTCAGTGATGCTCTTACAATACTCAAATCAACTATTCATGCATAAAAAAGTTTTTTAAAAATATAAAAGCATTGTCAGATTGCCACTGAAATGTATTAACTTTTGTTCCATTATTTATGAATATATAAAAAAGGAGAAAATTAGCCCCCCCCCAAAAAAAACTACCACCCTGGTTACTGGCTCCTAAGTTACATTAAAATGGAAGTTATTGCTATATATGCTTTATTTGATAAATACTGCTTCTTAGAAGTTCTCCTTAGTATCTGTGTATTATAAGGGAATATTAGGTTTCAATATGTTCTTATTCAGAAATAAACTGCATGGCTCTGTAAAAGCTATTAAGTATTGTAGAGATAAGAATATGTCACCAGCCACAGTCCCTAAGTGGCCACTGAGGACATGACATAGGGTCACAGTTTTAACCTCCTTTAATATCAAACTTTTCCTGGTTCTTTAAAAGCACAGGACTTACAGTTAAGAAAGAACAACAACAAAAGTTCATTCTTTTCCTTCCTCTATTCACAATAGAAGGGACTAAGATGTCAAATCTAAGGATTTGGGCATCTAGAAAGACAAGGCCCACACAATGCACCATAAAAAACTGTAAACCTTTTCAATATTATATGTTTTGGCCTTAATACAATTGCCAAATGTAACACTAGTTACAGTAATTCTGTATGTATCTCATCAGCAGTAATATCATCTAACATGGCTTTACATTTTTAAGAGAATAATTATATAATAAACAGATGCATGCTATAAGAGTTGGAATGTATCAGAGCTGGGTTCCCTTTCATGTGTGTTTATGATATGGACTCATTTATCCCGTTATGAATACTATGTCGCCTGGATACAGTGTGGAGCATGGGCAAAGTTAAATGCAGTTTTGATTTTTGGAAGGCAAACCAAGATTCTTGGTATGTATTTTTCTTTCTGCTTCAAGGCATAGGAAAACCATTGAAATGACTCCTAAAGTCTTATCATAAAACACTCAGAGTGAATTATAGAACTATTGTCAATTACCTTCTAATGTGAAAACTAGTTGTACAAGACCTCACCCGCAGACAGCGAGAGGCAGAATGGCATTTTGCATTATCTAACTATTTTTACATTTTTCATGCCTTTGGATTTAGGCATCTTATCGATCTTATGAAAATGGCTCCCCAGTCAGATACTGGCAGAGTAAAATGAAGGGGCTACTTGCTTAACCCTGCTTTGTATGAATATGTAAGGTCAGGAAATTGATTTCTTTTTCACATTCTGCAATGCTCAACAGGTAGATTGTAAATGTTTAGGCTTCACACTCTAAGATGCACTATAGAGAACTTCAGAGTCCTTTGTCCCATATGTATTGATAAGTATAGTAGACTTAGGCGGTACCATGATAATAGCATTTCATTTTGTTGTAGTTTTTGCCAGCATAGGGATTCTCATTTTTAATAAGTTGAACCTTTCAGTGAAAGGAGAATTTTATCTAAAGAATTGATTGGCTAGATCTGGTTATTACTTTACATCTGTAAATCATTATGGTCCCGTGGAAAGCCTCATCTGTCTGTCTGAACACAAGGTCATTCATTGTATTTCAGTTGAGAAGATAATGTGGTAATTTGCTTAGCTCCAAACAGTACAGGGAGATGGAGGTTTGCAGTGGCTTCCTTGTAGAAACACCACCATTCCCAATCTAAATAATGTGCCAATGCCGGCACTCTTTAAAGGACCGCCAGAAAAAGTTCTTCATGTTTCTATATAGCAAAACTGTGAGCAATACTACAGATCTCTTCCTTGTCTGCTGTCCAAATGTGCTCATGGCTGGTCAGCTCAAGGTCAAGTTTCAGCCTGGCCTGGCATTCCAGTCTCTATCCTGGTGGGGCCACATCTCAAAGTTCCTGTCTGCAACCCATTTTCTCTCCAAAGCTTCCTGGCCAGAAACCAGATCCTTCCCTCTTGTCCTAGCGATCTGTCAGCTTGCCAGGCCCTAGGACCTCCTTGAAGGCCAAGTTCAGCCTGGGCTTGCAGCTCCCACCTCTGGCCCAAGCTAGGAATCCAGAAAATCACTCGAGGTTCTACCTGGGCTCTCCTGAGCTGTGTCAGGTACCATAATCACAGCTGAGGGCATCTGCGAGACTGTTTCCCAATAAAGCCTTGATCAGAAAGTAAACATCTTGTCCAGAATCCCATCAAACAGGATATTTCAAGTTCACTGAAATATTAAAAGCACAAGCCTTCCTTCCATGGAAAACTCAGTGATGGTAAAAATGTCTACTACAGCGCACTGCACTGTAACAAACATTCTGCATAAATAATAATTTACAAGTTCCTGAGCAAGTGTACAGAGCACCATAGCACAGCACAGCACCGATGGCAGTAGCTCAAAGTTCTTGAAATCATGGTTTTTTTAAAATGTAAAAAATTCTAAAAGTTGGTACAAAAAAAAAAAAAATCACTCCAACTGGAGTTGAAAGATAGTGCAAACTTCTGTCTTCACTGTTGAAAAAAAAAGGCATCAACTTGCTTCTCACTTAATGTAGGCAGTATGCGTGGATCTGGGCACTTGGTGTGGATATTTAGGAGCAGGTCTGAATTAAAGCAATCAAGAGAAGAGAAAACAACATTGTAATTTAGAGACCTTGAGAGTTATTTCTATAGATATTGGAGTCTGGGTGGCATAAGTCCTTTCCTACCCTGCTACCCAGGTCAGATCAGACTTTCCCTAAGGTAGGCGATGGAGAACACTCTTATTTTTGGCAAGGGTTGCAGATGGCATCAGGGGAAGCTTGCTCAGGGCTGCAGAATTCCCAGTGGTTTACAACAGACAGTTCATCTCCAGAGAGGCCCTCTCCAAAGCTATTTCTCCCATCTACGAGCTGATTCTAGCAGAGCACTGTCCAACAGAAAAAATGACAGGAGACACTTGTGTAATTAAGTCTTCAAAATCCAGTGTGTATTTACATTGATAGCAGCTTTTAAATTTTTTTCTATCAGTGGCTACTGCATAGCAGAGCTGTTGAGAACCAGAGCAAAACAAGATATGTGTGATCCTTCAAAAAAGGAACCATCCCCTCAACATGCCTATGTAAAGTAGTGTTTTTCCTCTCTAAATAGAGCAAAAAGGCACCTCGAAGATCAACATACAAACCACAATGAAATAATTAGGATGCTATGTGATTTTTTTCTGTATTTCTGCAGTTGGGAATTAAACCATTGGATTGACCCTTTGACTGCCTTTATCTCTAAGATTTATTAGGCAGCTATTTCTTTCACAGGCCAAACATTCTTCTGAGGGGCTGTAATGACTAACGTGTGTCTTCCCATTCAGAGATATGAATTGCTGAGCACAGGGCCTGGCCAATAGTCTGTACCTTTAGTTCCTTTGAGCTCATAAAGTGAGCATCCTGCCAAAGGGGCAATAAGAGTCAGAAGAGAGTTTTGGGCAAGGGTTTCACAGCCTTCTAGGGAAGAAGGGCCTGACTGGTATCATTTGCCAATTCTCATGGTACAAATACTCCTACAGGGGCTGATTCCACAAATATGGATGTGATGTGAGCAGCACCATGATACTGAGCTCTATGGTGTGGAAATAATACATCTGCACACTCAGTGGCACAGATAATTATAACAAAAGGTGGAAAAAAACAGAACCTAGAAGTGATATTTTGAGCATTTATTATTTTTTTATGTACCTTAAGTTTATATAATTTAATCTTTAATACAGTATTTAGCAAAGTTTAATACTCTGCTTGCAAAGTGTTTGGAAATTTCGTAGCCCTCACCAACTATTGTGAGCCAGTTCCAGCACCTCCCTGGGCTGACCTCCCTGTGTAAGTAGGACTCAGGCTGTCTTCCTAGTCCCCTGGGGGAAAGTGAACAGTCGACCCCAGCAGGAGGAAGCTTTCAAGGGCAATTCTGATGCGAAGAGAAGCCCCCCTGGCTCCTGCTGCTGACGGCAGCTTCCGCCTTACCTCTCATCTCTTTGTTTCATCTTTGACCCACAAAACTGACCTATGTCTCAGGACCCCAGGGTCTGGGCAGAGGTGGTTTTGGTGAGAGTTTTGGAGATGGCTGTCTAGCCTTCATCCTAGCACAGCAGTTTTCTTAGTGCCGTATCAGGAGCCACAGCTGTTCTGGGTGTGCCACCTAGTTCTACCTCATTTTGAGCCCAGCCCACCATCCCCATAACCTGGCTTACTTAGCTCAGCTACCCTACAGCCACTAGAGAGAGGAGACCTACCTAGTGGGTGCTCTGCGAAACCCAGGCTCCTGCTGTCCCGGCGTCTTCACGCTGGCGTTAGAGAGCCGCGTTGTCCTGCTCAAAGGATTGGCGGGCAGAGGCTTCTGAGGAGGGTTTGGCTTATAAATCCCCTGCAATAGACATAATATTATGCATGATTCCTTAGCTTTGTGATCAGGCAAACAGTGGAGGCCATCAGAGTTCCTGAAAAGCAGGATTTGAAGAATGGTAAAGGGGATGCTTGGCACAAGTTCATTTTGTGATACTCTGGCACTGTATGAGGGGAGGTGGAGGCATGACCTTTGTTAACCTTTTTGCCCAGATTTCCTCTGACATTTGGAGATTCATTCATGAATGCATACAGAACAATTACGAGTCTTCCAGTCATTTAGAAGTGATGCATGGGCCAATTCATGGACCAAGGGGGGTATAGCTGGCATTGGGGTTCTGTGATAATGCTACCTAAGGGATGTAAACATTCCTGTCTTTAGGTAGCTTTTCAATTTATAAAGGCCTAAAGTGAGAAGCAGGCAAAAATATCTTAAGCATTATACTAATTCCCCTGTTTCTCTGTTAAAACACAAGAGAACAGGCTCAGCTGTGGGTGGACTGGTGAGTTGTATGGTTGGTGTTCCAAATTCTGATCTGGATGGTTCAGCACGATCCCCTGAAGTTCTTTCACCCAAATACTTACTACAAAGAATTGCCCCAAGTGGTTTGAGAGAGAAGTCAAGCCTATAGAAGCTGGGGGAGGTGTGCTGTTGGCCAGGAGGTGGGGAGGAAGTCACCCAGAGGAGGGGGAAGAGTGCGAACTTGGGGGCTAGTCTATGCTGGGTTTTATCCAAGGACCAGTGCCCTGGGACTTGTCAAGTCACTTGACCTCTCTGAATCTGTTTCTTCTTGAAAATGTAAGAAAACAAGACTTAACTCCTAGCAATATTATGAGGCTTAAGTAAAATGGTTTCCAGCACATAGATAATAATTATCAGTAATATCAGCATTTCCTCAACTGTTTCATAGAAATAAAAGCAACAGAGATAGTGTAATTGCAGAATCATAAGCCACCTCTTTCTATGGGGCTTCTCCCTTGGGGGGGGGAGAGGCGCCAGAGGTATGTGACACAGTTGTTTTCTGGGGCTCAGAGTGAGTCTGGATACCAAGCCATCTTCTGCTCTGGGTTTTGGAGTCTAGAAGACTCACAGATGCACAGGTCTGTGAAAACTGGTGCTGGAACCTCCAAGGAAACAAAAATGCCCCAGTAATTAAATGATGTCACAGTAGAGCACGCAGTAGGGCATACCTGTGATCTCAGCTACTCAGGAAACCTAGGTAAGAGAATCGTTTGAGCCTGGGAATTCATGAGCAAACTTGGGCAGTAGAGTGAGACCGTAGCTCAAAAAAGAAAGAAAGAAAGAAAGAATGAAAACCCAGCCAAAAATTACACCATCACAGAACTGACTCAGTATTCCATCTACCCTGAACACTCAAAAATGATTTAAAACACTTGAGTTGAATTTCCAAGTTCTTATCACTGGAGCTCAGTTGAAAGAAAACAACAATAGGATCATCAGCCAGCTTAGCTCTGCAAAATGCAGGAGCCACCACAGAAGTCTAAATGCACCCAGTGGGAACAGGTAGACTGAATTAGGAAAGAGGTACTGAACGAGAGATAGACTTCGAAGTGACGTTTCTATAGTAAAGGAAATGTTAACAGACTGTGGAATATAGAACAAGTTCCTCAATGAGGAATAAAGACTGTATAATGTGCTTAAGGGCATAGACTTATGTGTTTTCAGAGGAGGTGAGAACAGTCCCTTCCTCAGGGACTGACCGGGGACACACAGTGATGCTCTCAGTACAGGGCCTGTCACATAGTCACCAAGGAGTGAGTGTCACCCACTGTTGCTTCTCTGCAACAATGATGGATTAAATTTACCTTCCACAAGCACTATCACCCTTCCAACAAATCTTTGGGCAATAAACTAAGACAACAAATCAAGTTTCATTTCCTGTAACAGAAAAGTATGAACAAGATATCAGTGTGTAATGTAAAAATGGATGTATATACTCATAAAATTGAAAGACTTTGGGGACTGAATAATTCATTACTAAGTGATACTAGTTTTGCTGCTAAGTATGACTAAGTACCTAGTCATGGCAATAAAGATAATGTCAGGTTTTCACTGTAACACTAGAGAAAAAAAAATGAGGTATAAGTCTAGTGTAATGTATTTGGATTTATCATGGAAGTGGAGAGGATAATTAGGTGGCAATTCATTCTAATTTGCCTGGAACAGCCCCAATTTATTTGTATGGTCTTAATTATTAATCACATTCTCTGATGTGTCTCCTGCTTTGTAGGATAAATGACATAGTCACCATAGTGATAAAAGCCCAAACGGCTGAGATGCCGAGAATTCTGACTTCAAACCTGGGGACAGCCCAGGCCCGCACCTGCTCCTTCTCACCAGAGGCAAGACATGGCAGGGATGGAAACGAGAAATAAGTCTCATGGAAACATTGTGCCTAGTTAAGATGTGGGCATCCTGCCAGGCTTCGAGGGACACAATGGCACAAACAGTGGGGTTGGTCCAGGAAGATGTTCCTCACTTTTCAGATGTCCGAAGCCCATCTGCCTGGACTTTGACCCTGGTGAAAGGGGTAAAATTTCCATATTCCCTTTGATGCTTTTCTTGTTGCCTTTACAACACCCAAACCTGGGCATTCCCAGAGGAATCCAGCCTAGTCTCAGAGACTCATCTGCATGGAGCCAAGAAAGGACTCGAGGTTGTGAACGCTCAATTAGTATTTCGGCAGAACTATTTTCATTTAAACAAGGAAACCAGGACTTCAAACCTCATTCCTCTTCCCTCTCAAACTCTTCCAGACCCTGGAGAAGAATCTAGGTATGCTCTTAAATTGTTGGCATGTCCTGCTTCTGCTTTCTGCTCATGTTCTAGCAAGAGCTACGTATTTCAGATTTTTCAGAGATGTGAATACATTTTAAAACTTAAATGTAACCTTTGCCTTGACCATTATCATAAGAAGTTCTTTGTTTTGTGTTTTATTTTGGTTTTTGTTTTTTGAGACAGGATCTCACTATGTAGCCCAGGCTGGTCTCAAACTTGCAGTGATCCTCCTGCCTCAGCCTCCCAAGTGCTGGGATTACAGGCATCCACCACCACGCCCGGCAAGGAATTCTTAACTTTTATGGAAACTGATAATAAGAGTAAACATAACCTGTCATCCAGAGAGATCTCTGCGGAGAGACTGAGTGTCAGTACCAGAAAATGCCAAGCATGCCACACAGGGCAGCACGAACACATCTTGCTCTCCATATTTAGCCTATCTGTGGCTAAAAATATTCCTGTTTATTTTATGCACTGAAATAAGTAGCAAATGAATCAAACATATCGATGTGAAGAAATTGTGAAAGTGTAAGAAATTAAAAACATGCCTGTTAAGTAGCCAGGCTTTCCTAAATATGACAATAAAAATTACAGAGATGAAAAGGAAGCTCACAAAGAAAAAAATGATCTTAAACTTGTGTAAAGATTTCTCACCTTACAGGAAGAAAAGTGTGCACCTATCAGACTGATAAAGATAAATCTGAACACATTGTGTTGGTGAAGAGCTGGGAATAGACTTTGGGACAACTTTAGAGGCTGTTCTACCCAATCTATCACATTTCTAAATGCATATGGCCTCTGCACAGCAATTGAGCATTCAGTATTTATCCTGTAGACATCTTGGGCAGACACAGTCCCATCTGAAGTAACAGATTGGTAGAAATAACCTATGTGGCCACCAGCAGAGGGCAGGTTAAATAAGTCTTGGTATGTCTCTACAGTGAAATACTATGTAGTCAGTGAAAAGAATGAGGTGGAAGTGTATATATGTCAGAGGAAGTAAGGATGTGATGCATTGTCATTTAAATTCAAACCAGAGGGGGAAGAGGGAGAAGGGAGAGCAGGGGTATGGGGAAAATGAGAACCAAGATCTGTCATGTAAAGGTACAACATCCCAATGATGAACGTGCACCTAAAAAGTACCAATAAACTCAGTGAGAAAAAAATTAAAAGACATACGCTGAAACAAGAGTGACAGCACTGTGGTGGTTGCTGAAATTGGGTAGACAGGATTTCACTCTAGTGAAATCTAGACTGCATAGCTGCTCAATTATAGACAAACATTGCCTGTTACCAAATGTGGAGAGTAAGATATCAGACACCCATTTTCCTTGTGCAGTCTGCACATTTATAGTACAGAAATGAGTGGAGAATGCGTCTCCCTCTGAATACTGTAATCATCTGGACATCTTCCCTGGCAGTTTTGTGTTCTCTGAAGTTGTCTCTAGAACAGTGATGGTGAACCTCTTAGAGGTGACTGCCCAAACTCCGCCCAAAACCCACTCATTTATCGCAAAGTGCTGACACAGCATTTCAACCTTAATACTGAGGTTTTTAGTTTAGAAAAAACAACCCATAAGTTAACATCTTTTATCTTAAAAAGAAAGAACACATGTGCCATAGGTTCATCACCACTGCGCTAGAGAGAGAAATCAGTGCTTCCACTGTAGTTCCTACCTTTAGGATGGTTGATGGTTTTGTCACATGAATGGGTGGGTGACATGTAACCAAAGAAAGCTTCGTTTCTGAAATATTGGGCAAGAAAAGGTTAGCAGGAGCCTAAGACCATGGTAACTGCACTTAAGATGTTAGGAATAAATTGATATTTTCACTAATCCTAGACTCATTGACTGATACTCTGACAGAACTGAGATTTTACTACTAAGATCCACATAAGCACATTTCCTACATATTCACTGGGTTCAAGGGGCCTGAGTTCAGTGTGCCAGAAATAAAAAGCCCCATCTGGCCCTGCTGAATGGGGAAGAACAGGTGCACAGGTAGCAGGTGGGCAAGGGACTTAGTGGGAAGACTTCGAAAAATTTAGGGAAGAAGTGGCCTTGGAGAAAGGTCTTACATACACAGCAGAACTTGGAAAGCAGAGGGTTGCTCTGGAAGCTTGCTGCCCAGGATCTTTTCTCTGTTATTAGCCTGTAATTTTCCTGAGAAATGAAAGCTTTGACGCAGTTCTCTTGTGTTTCATCTTATTTTGATAGAACATATTGATGAATGGGTTTCCTTTTCCCATTATATATTGGCTTTTCCAATGATCAAGGACCTACATCATCAGAGTGTTAGACTCTACAAATTTCAGCCAACCACAAAGGTTGGAGGAGTACGTGTTCATTCCAAACTCACTCACTGTGTGACAAAAATAGTTTAGAAGTGTAGTTCTACTCTCACTGAACTGGCCAGTATTGAATTGTCCTAGAATTATGGTTTGTTTTGCTCATGTTTGGGCCTGGCAAAGCACTGATGAATAGCTGTTACAAGTAACAGCCCAGTGAATCACTCACCCATCATATTTTTTTAATGGTGGGGAAAGAATTTGGACCTCATTTAAGACCTCCACAACTTCCTCAGCTAGTTAAGTGAATCTCGTCCTTTTCCTAGAACAGTGATGCTAAACTTTTTAGAGCTTTCAGTGATAATGAACAGCCTGCTGTGGCACGCATGCCACAGATTTGTCACCATTGTCCTAGAAGATCCTGCCCCACACTGGTCAGACTTGTTTCCATAAAATAGTATGTTATGTACAATAGAGTCCCAGGTCAATGGTGCTGACTGGAAGACTGTGTTTGTCCAAGTACAGGAGGGAAACCTCCCATATACAGGGTGTGTGGTGTCAATGCCATTGAGGAAGCTGCAGGTTTGTACATGGCAACTCCTACTGCTATGGGGGTTCTGACACTGGCCGGTGCCCATGAAGGATAGCAGTAGAGGGGAACAGTGATTGAAATACATACACACACACATATATGTATTAATTCCCCAAAGTGGATGTAATTAGGTATCACAAATGTATTAATAAAAACACTTGGAAGGGTCATAGATAAAATTAAAGAAATTAGTTTCTACAATCAATAATGTCAGTATGACATACTGGAACCTATTGGACACAATGAAAACAGCCCTAAGAGGGAAATTTACAGTAGTGAATTTCCACATTAAAAGACAGAACATGCTCAAATAAATAATCTAATGATATACTTCAAGGTCTCAGAAAAACAAGAATAATTCAAATCCAAAGTGAGTACAAGAAAGGAAATTATAAAGATTAGGGTAGAAATTAATGAAATTGAGACTATTGCTTTTATTTCTTTTTCTTATCTAACTGCTGTGGCTAATGTTTCCAAAATTATATTGAACAGGAGTGGTGATAGTGGAATCCTTGTTTTCCTTATTTTAGCCACTCTGAACACAATATCAGATATAGAAGACAGGATGGTGGTCAGTGACCATGAAGAGAGAGCTCTCTTAAAAAAAATAGTAAAGGACCATGAGAAATAAATCCAGAAGTTCCTAGATGATGCAAAGAAGAATATTAAATTGATAGAAATTCACAAAAAAGCAAGAGAAAATACAAATGACATTGAAAAAACTGTTCACAGAATTAATGATAGAAAACTTCTCAGAGCAAAAGAACTTGACATATACATAGATAAGTGAGGCATATAGGACTCCAACTAATCATAAAAAAATCTACACCTAGACATATAATAGTTAAGATCCTAGAAACTCAACAGAAGAACAAAATATTACAAGCAGTTAGAGAAAAGAAACAAATCACATGCAAAGGGCAGCCCATCAGAATCACAGCAGACTTTTCAACACAAATCCTCAAGTCAAGGGGAGCCTGGAGAAAGGTATTTCAAACCTTAAAACAACCTCCAACCTAGACTGATGTATCCTGAAAAACTATTTTTCAAAATTAATGGGGAAATAAGATACTTTCATGACAAAGAATACCTGAGACACTTCATGAATACCAAACGAGCACTCCAAACAATTTTAAAAATTATCCTAGAAAAAGACAATGAAGGTCACAACTCCATGAGGCCCAACAGAGCAAATCCAAATATTTCATCAGGCAAGGTAAGAAATTAAATGGAGAGGGGGAAATATAAAAAAGAGCCAAGAACAGGAAAATAATATGGCAATAAATCAATACATATGAGCTATAAACATCAATGTTAATGGCTTCAATTCAATCAAAAGAAACATAGTGGCAGAATGGATTAAGAAGCAAAATCCAACAATATGCTGCATACAAGAAACACACCTAGTTAAAAAAGAAACTCATAGACAAAATAAAAGGATGGAAAACTGTTCTCCATGGGACAGGAACCTGGAAAAAAGCAGGGGTAGCTATCTTATTTGCAGACAAAGTAAATTTCAAACCAAAACTAATTGAGAGACAAGGTCACTACATCCTTGTGCAGGGAGCATCCAAGAGGAAGAGATGACAATCATAAACATATGGGCACTGAATATTAATGCCCCCAACTATACAAAACAAATATTAAGGGACATGAAAAACCAAATAAGCACTAATACAATTGTAGTAGGGGACCTTTATACACCACTGTCACAAATAGATCTAGTCAGAAAAAGAAAATCAATGAAATACTAGAACTGAACCTGGCCTTTGTACAAATGGACTTAATGTCTACAGAGTGTTCCAACCCACAAAATCAGAATATACATTCTTTGTGGCTGCACATTCTCCAAAATTTACCATAATAGTAGTTCATACATGTTTAAATGCAAAGGAATTGAAGTTATCCTGTGCATATTATCAGACCATAGTGCAATTGAACTGGAGATCAATAGCACAGGAAACCCCAAGAACTTCAGAAACAAATGGAAATTGAATAACACTCTTCCTGAACAACCAATGGATTACTGTGGAAATTAAAGAAGAAATTTAAAGAGTTTTTATAATTTAATGATAATGCCAGTATGACATACAGGAATTTATGGGATATAAGGAAAGCAGTTCTATGTGGGAAATTCATAGCAGTAAATGCCCACACTAGGAAAACAGAGTGAGCTCAAGTTAACAACCTAATGCTCAATCTTAAGCTCCTAGAACAGCAAGAGAAACCCAAAGCTCATAGAAGAGGAAAGCATAAGAGAGGAAAGTATAAAGATCAGAGCAGAAATCAATGCAATTCAGACTAAGAGAACAATACAAAAA